ATATATATATATATATATAAATTTAAGTTTAAAACAGAATATATATACATATATATAGGTATATATAATATATTATTTAAAGTACTAAAGATACGTAATACATACAGAAAAAGAATATAATATTTTATACTTATCTCATTTTTTTTTCTTACCGGAGTGCTTCATGAGGTTCGTTATTCGCATACATGTAGTTCGGATACAATACCTATATTTATGGTTATTATTTCGTGATTTTCAAAAGTTACAAATAAATATTACAATTTATAATTCGACAGTAGCTTCGACAGTAAGTAGTTCTTCAAAGAATTCAATACATTCGATTCCATACAAAATTATTGAAATTCATTCATTTTTAAGAAAGTTTTCTATATTAAATAAACTACGTAAACACTCGAGAATTTAATGAGTAAAAATATAACATAAAAATAATAATGAATAGAATAAATAAATGAATAGATGGAAAAAAATATATCTTAGAATGTTCTTTAGCGTATTAATATTTTAATTAAAATAAAACGTTTCTTCAAGTCAGTTTTTGTAAAAAATGGACTTGATTACTTTTGTAAATTATGGAATTATAAAAGTCCCGATCCAATTTAAGTCATTCAGTCACTTTTAATTAGTCTACACAATTATAAAAAATATGAAAAAATAAGAAAGTCGCAAAGTTATTAAAGAAACATACCTACAATCCACATGGTTAACGCCTTGAAAGAATAAAAAAACAAGAAATGTAAAGAAATACAGTACATGAATAATACCATACCTATTGTTGAGATACAGATTGGTATAATTCATTAGAATAAAATATCTTATGAACTATTAATTTTTTGGTAATTTTATATACATAAATGAGGTGAAGAAAAAAGAAATGATGAAACTAAAAAAAAACATATATAATCATTTTTTAATAGAATGATTTTTTTTATTAAATATTTTTTTTTATATTATTGATATCAATATTTCCTTTAAATAAAATTGTATACGATTTTTTAAAATAATTTAATTACATTTTTATATAAAAAATAAATAATTTTATACATGAAAATCTTTAAAGTTATTTATTTTTCATATAAAAATGTAATTAAATTATTTTAAAAAATCGTATACAATTTTATTTAAAGGAAATATTGATATCAATAATATAAAAACAAATTGTATAAAAATAATCAAAAAATTATGCTAGAAAATAAGTTATTATCATATCTGCCTTCGAAAACAATAGATATTTAATTAAAAAAATCATTCTATTAAAAAATGATTATATATATTTTTTTTAGTTTCATCATTTCTTTTTTCTTCATCTCACTTATGTAAAGTGCACGTACAAGTGCATATAAGCAATACTCAATATACATCCACATAAATTTAATAATTTAGTATATGTGTGCTGTGTGTGTTAATGTATGTATGTACGTCTGCATATATGTATATGTATTATAAATCTTATACGTTCATAGGTGTACGTATAACCATACAGCACAGATCAATCTAACAATATTGCAACACTGTAAACATTGCAACAATGTTACTGTAAATTCTATGCTGTAGAGGAAGCAATACTCAATATACCTCGTATAGAGGATGTCTCATAACTCTTAATTAATATTTCTGGAAATGAAATTTTGAGCTAATAGTTCCTTTTTTTTTCTCAATTTCGGCAGAAACCATTATTTACCGAGTTATTAACGATTAAAGTTGATCAATATCATATTGCGCCCACACGGAGAGAAATCTGTTACGATTTTGGCACGGACAGTCGATACTACTGTCGCGTAGGCTGTTTCAATGCGCTAATAGCGCCATCGTTCAATCTGTTTATACATGAAGTCATGCAATCATGGCACGAGAAATCTCTATGAAAAAAAAGAATGAGATGCGCGCTATGGTCGTACCAGCCTTTTACGATAGCCGCACGATCGCAATACGCATAAAGCACCCCACTTCACCGTGCGAAATTCGTTCGAAACCCGTGTGATTTTGGCATGGCTTATCGGTTTGACAGTTAAATTTCTAAACCATGCCTTCTATAATGCATTGTGTATTAAAAATTAAACAACATTTATGTGAAAAATATTGCAGCAGTAAATATTGTGGACTTTCAATAAATTTGTTGTTTATAAAAATTTAATAATAAATTTAATAATTTAAATAAATCATCAAATACTTTTATATGCATTAATACATTTACTACTGCTGCAACATTTTTCACATAAATGTTTAATTTTTAACACACAATGCATCATAGAAGGCGTGATTTAGAAATTTGACGGTCAAACCGATAAGCCATGCCAAAATCGCACGGATTTCGAGCGAATTTCGCACGTTGAAGTGGAGTGCTTTATGCGTACTGCGCTCGTGCGGCTATCGTAAAAAGCTGGTACGACCATAGCGCGCATCTCATTCTTTTTTTTTCATAGAGATTTCTCGTGCCATGATTGCATGACTTCATGCATAAACAGATTGAACGACGGCGCTATTAGGCTGGATTTTCATCTGACGCTAGACGCTCATTTTCAGCGTCAAAACAGGTCACATGATCAAAATTGACGAATACCAAGCGTCAATTTTGATCACGTGACCTGTTTTGACGATGAAAATGAGCGTCTAGCGTCAGATGAAAATCCAGCTTTAGCGTATTGAAATAGTCCACGCGATAGTAGTATCGACTGTCCGTACCAAAATCGTAACAGATTTCTCTCCGTGCAGCCGGAATACGAAGGAGCATAGCATATTAAAGGACTCTTCGCTCTTACTGTACATTCTCTCGATTACAATTTCATTATAATTTTTCATATTAACTAACCCGATCGATAAACTTTAATCGTTAATAATTCGGTAAATAATGATCTGAGCCAAAATTGGGATAGGAATTTTTAGTTTAAAATTTCATCCTCTTTCACTGCCAGAAATATTAATTAAGAATTCTGGGACATCCTGTATATCTATATATGGTCACAAAATTAATCGTTTGAACAACAATTTTAAGAAATCGATATAATAGTCGATAATTTCATAAAATTGTAAATTTAATTTGTAAATTGAGAAAAAAATTTTTGTAAATTAAACTTCCAGAGTCAAATGTATTAAAATATTTAAAAATTTCTATATACATACATTCAAATGTATGTATATATGTATAAGCAATACTCAATATATTTATATATATACTATAATATAGTATACATACATATCTGTATATATTTATTGATTTAATAATCAATACGTACCAATAATGATGTGTTATATCATCAGGACTTGTGGAAGTCTTCTTACTTATTGACAACTTCTTTTCTAAAACCAAAGTAGCCCGAACATATTTTTCCAATGTCTTCTTAGTTGTTACATTTAATTTATATTTTATAATCCAGATATGTAATTTTATCTCATTTTAGAGATATGAAGAAAAATTGTTTTAAAGAATATACGTTTGCACATAAAAGTGAAATCATTACATATATAATTATATTAAATTGATGCATTAAATAATTTTTTTAAATAAGTATATAAATATCTAATTGCTCTCATCTTATGAGAAAGTGATTTTCCGTATTTCTTTAGATTTTTCTATTTAAATATATTTGAATTTATTGGACATGCACCTTCATCTATAATTAACCATTTTTTGAATTTATTATATAAATTATACAAGTCTTCATTGATAAAATTAGAATTCTTCATCATGTTGAAATTGCAACTCTTCATTATTATGAAATTATTTAATTTGATCATATATTATTAATAACAAATTTTTCCATGATAAAAACATTAAATAATTATAAATATCACAAAACTAATATACTTTACCTTGTCGTTGCGGAAGAATTACATCATTTGGATCTATAATATTACAT